GCAAGAAAGTAAAATAAACTAAAGAAAAGAAAAGCAAATAAAATAAATAAAAGAAAAGTGAAGAATGTTCAAACTCTAATTGTCAATCTGGCTTCCCCGGCAATGATGCCAAATTTTGATGTCTCGCCTCAAAATTAATACCCTTTAGCTAAGCGGTTGTTGTAGCGTAGCTTTAGGTGTCGAATCCACAGGGAAGCTAAATTAAATCAACAAAAAGAGTTGTCACAACGAGAAATTAAATTAAAAGATGAATTCTAAAATTAAGAATAAAAATATTTAAATAAAAGATGAAAATTGTAAAAGATTGAAAACAATATTATGATGAACAAGACTTCAGGGTTCACTTAATTGATTTGTTTAACTGTTATAAATTTTGATTCCTATTTATTACTCAATTGCATGTTTCACATCCCAAACAAACAATTGGAAGATTCAACTTTGAAAACCAATAATAACGACTGATGTATTTATTTTGAGAAAAATTAATTTCAATGAAGAACAAACTGATATATCCTTACGAGCTATCCGAGAGCGATAATATATCTAATCGACAATACTGCAATAAAGGATCAACCCGCAAAACAAATCTACCAATCAATTATATTCTAACAAATCACACATAAAAAGAGCATGACTAATCTTATATGAAATTTGATAAATATAATTTTCAAGGTTTTCAAGTCTGAAAATAATTAATAATCTCTGAAAAATAAAATTAAACAATAAAATCTATGGAGGAATCAAAATAAAATAACAAATCAAACTCTTCAATCAAGATCCTCCCTAGTTTTGTTGAAAGTTTAGTTGCACTTTGACATAATTCTCTAGCCTTGAAAAAGAAAATAGAAGTTTGGTAGCAGCCTCTCCAGGCTTGGAACCCCTCTAAAATAACTTGGATGGGTATTTATAGAATTCTAGAAACCCTAATTAGAATGGCTGTGGGGCTCACATCACAATAATTAGGATAGATATGATTTGGCTGAATTATCGCGCAAGGCGTCGACACTCTTTACAAGGTGCCGGCACTTTGAGTGGAGCGTCAACTGCATCCTCCGTGTCGGGTTTTTGACCTTTTGTGCAATTTTGGTTAATGGCAGAATAGTAGTCTTGGTCCCTGACTCTTGGATTCTGCGTAAGTTGATCGTCATATTTCTGATCTTTGCAATTTGCTCCTTGCATTTAAGTCCTTTTTCTAATTCTTCTCCATTTAACATCAACCTTCAATCACCATAAAATTTGCACAACATGAATAAAATGAACACTTATGAAATTACCTGTAGAAAAATAAAACTCTTAAACTCATAATTCCACAAATGTCAATGGTAAAGCACACTTTAGATATACATTTTCATGCTTTCATCAGTAACATGTCGACATGTGCTAGCGTTTATAAACGTCCCACTAGTGGGCACACGAATAACATGACCATATCGGAGACAAAACCATGTAGGATTTACAAAAAATCCATGATTCACAATCGCTCTCAATTTCAAGAATAAACCGAAAGAATTTTATGTGGGCATGATCAATTCTAGGAAATAAGAAAATAATAAAAGTTCAATTTCCATTTTAATCATGCTCAGATGCAAATAAATCCATTTAAACCTTGCCACTATCTCAAAAATAAGTTAAAACATGCTTTAAAATTTAAAGACATTACCATAATTTACTTACCTTAATCGCACAGAATAGAAGGTTTAACCCAAGTGCTAGGGTCACAGAACGATCAAGAAGCTAATCACAATATTTTCGAATTAATATCTATAAAAAAAAATTTATTTCTTTATTTATTTTTATTTTTCTCCTATCCAAAAATTGAGCACACAACATTAGATTGTGCATTTATATATATATATATACATAGTTACACATACAATTTTTCCAAATTCATGGACAGGAAATAGGAGAACCGGCTTTGACAAAAATGGCTAAGTCACAGAGATATTTATTTTTTTCTTTCATACAACATCACAGCAGCCCAATTAAAGGATTTCCTACATAATTTAACTTAAAACTCATTTCAAGGCTGCCATAATTCATCCCCCACTTCCAGCAGATTTTCGGACAACCCAAGCACCCATACAACCAATTAAACTTAACAAGGCAGCAATTAATCAACCAATTTTTGGAAATTAGAGAAGCCAACCTACCAAAAATTTTCAGCAAAACAAAATTGGAGCTGGCGGCAAGGGAGGGTGACGGAAAAATTGGAGGGCTTTCACGGGGACTACTAGTAATTGAAAGGAACAACAATTAGAGTGAACCCGCATAAATCAAGGCTGAAAAGAGGAAATTCATGGCTGATTTTTACCAGGAAAAACCGAAGCTCACACCCAGTAGCAACCGGCGGCAGAGGAGGAAGAAGACAGCAGATCTGGAAAATTTTCTGCAAGGGAGAAGATTTCTAAGTCCTAAACTTGTTCTTGAACAAGAAAAGAACAAAATCATCAAATTCTCTTACCAATTTCTCAGGTGGGGGCGTCGGTGATGGCTGGGTTCATTTTCGGCTGCAGGGGAGAAAAAGAGACAGAGCAGACATGTGAAAATGGCTGGGGAAGAAAGAAAGAAAGAAAAAAAAAAAAAGAAAGAAAATGTCAGCCGGCCTTATCCAAAATCTTTTTAACCCCCTGAAACTTGAAAATTTGGCTATTAGGTTCATTAATAACCTTTCCTCACCCTTAAGTCCCTAATTCAACTTTAATGTTCTTGAAATTTTTGGGGTATTACATCCACCCCTCCTAAAAAGAAGTTTAGTCCCCTATACTCATACCTCGATCTTGGAAGAGGTGCGGATGTTCCTGCCTCATCTTGGATTCCAACTCCCAAGTAGCTTCTTCAACTGAATGGTTATCCAAGAGGACCTTAACAAAACAAATGGTCCTTCTCCGCATTATCCTCTCCTTGAAATCTAAAATGCAGATCGGGTGCTCGTCATAAGTGAGATCCTCCCAGAGTTGAATCGGTTCAAGATTAATGATGTGACTCGGGTCGGGAACATACTTCCGAAGTAAGGACACGAGAAACACATCATGAACACCTGCTAAATTTCCAGGCAACTCCAATCTATAAGCTACCTCGCCAATCCTTTCTAAAATAGGATATGGTCCAATATACCTCGGACTTAATTTTCCCCGGATGCCAAACCTGAGGACACCTCGAGTGGGTGACACCTTCAAAAATACATGGTCACCAATTTCAAACTCAAGGTCTCGTCTCCTTCTATCCGCATAACTTTTCTACCTACTTTGTGCAGCACGAAGGCGTTCCTTAATCAACTGCACAATCTCAAAAGATTGTTGCACCAATTCTAGGCCTAAAATGCTCCTTTTGTCCACCTCCATCCAACAAACAGGTGATCTATACCTTCGACCATACAAAGCCTCAAACGGTGCCATGCGAATGCTAGATTGATAACTGTTATTATATGCAAACTCAGCCATGGATAAGTGTTGATCCCACGAACCCTTCCAATCTAGAACACAAGCCCTCAACATGTTCTCAAGTATCTGAATAGTCCTCTCAGATTGCCCGTCAGTTTGAGGATGGAAGGCCGTGCTGAAATTTAATTGAGTACCAAGTGCTTGTTGCAAGCTTGTCCAGAAATGAGATAAAAATCTAGTATCTCTATCTGACACAATAGACACAGGGACTCTATGCAGCTTGACTATCTCATTCATGTACATATTGGCAAGCTTCTTAATGGAGGTGCCATCCGGTAAGGTAAGAAGTGAACTGATTTGGTCAATCGATCAATGATGACCCAGATGGAATCATTACCTTTTAAGGTTCGTGGTAAGCCCGTCACAAAGTCCATGGTGATGTTCTCCCACTTCCACTGGAGAATAGGTAAAGGCTGCAGTTTCCCAAGAAGTCTCTGGTGTTTAGCCTTGACTTTTTGGCAAGTCAGGCATTGTGAGACAAATCTAGCTATCTCCCTCTTCATGTTCCGCCACCAAAATGTACTACGCAAATCACAATACATCTTGGTGCTACCTGGGTGAATTGTATAGCTAGTATAATGGGCATCCCCCATAATCTCACGCCTTAAAGCATGATCTCTTGGTACACACAGCATGTCACCAAACCATAGAGTCTCATCATCGGAAATTCTGAATTCTTGCATGTGGGTTTCCTCGGCTCTTACTTTTTCCTTCATCTTTTGCAAGAAGGGATCTTTTTGTTGGCCAAGTTTAATTCTATCTATAAATACTGGTTGTGCACTGAGAGCGACTAGATAAGCCGTAGTACTGTCTACTCTTAACTCCACATCCAGTTTCACAAGATCCTCAAGTAACTCCTTCTGAGTGGCAAGGATGCCAGAGGCAGTGCCAAAGGACTTCCTACTCAACGCATTTGCTACTTTGTTGACTTTGTTTGGATGATAGCTAATGGTCAAGTCATAGTCCTTCAAAAGTTCAAGCCATCGCCTCTGCCTCATATTAAGCTCCTTTTGAGTGAAAATATACTTAACGCTCTTGTGATCGATGAAAATCTCACAAATCTCACCGTATAGATAATGCCTCTAGATCTTGAGTGCAAATATCATGGCTGCCAACTCTAGATCATGGGTAAGGTAATTTTCTTCATAAGGCTTTAACTGTCGGGAAGCATATGCAATAACCCTATCTTTTTGCATCAAGACACATCCCAAACCCTTTTTAGAGGCATCACTATATATAGTGAATCATTCTCCATTGATTGGGAGTGCAAGTACAGGAGCAGTGACCAACTGCTCTTTAAGGGTCAAAAAGCTCTTCTCACACTCTAGAGTCCACTCAAACTTGGTGTCCTTCCTGATAAGACGAGTCATTGGCAGAGCAATTCTAGAGAAATCCCCCACAAATCGGCAGTAATAACCAACCAATCCCAGAAAACTACGGATTTCTACAACACTATTCGGCCTTTTCCAATCAACCACGGCCTCAATCTTCTGGGGGTCAACCGAGATTCCATCCTTAGTCACAACGTGACCTAGGAATGCAACATTATCTAGCCAAAATTCACACTTCTTAAATTTAGCAAACAGCCTCTCACTTCTCAGTGTCTCGAGAACTGTCCTTAAGTGCTTTTCATGAAGAGTATGGCTAGAAGAGTAGATCAAAATGTCGTCAATGAAGACAACCACAAACTTATCTAGGTACTTGCTAAACACGCGATTCATCAAATCCATAAATATGGCAGGGGCATTTGTCAAGCCAAAAGGCATGACTATGAATTCATAATGACCATAACGGGAGCGAAAGGCAGTCTTTGGCACATCATCCAGTTTAATCTTCAACTGGTGGTAGCCAGATCGAAGATCAATTTTAGAAAATACCTAGGCACCCTTGAGCTGGTCAAACAAGTCATCAATTCTAGGAAAGGGATACTGGTTCTTCACAATCACCTTATTCAATTCTCGGTAATCAATGCATAGCCTCATGCTCCCATCCTTCTTCTTAACGAACAACACTGGAGCTCCCCAAAGTGACACACTAGGGCGTATGAACCCTTTTTCAAGGAGTTCCTCCAGCTGGATCTTTAACTCCTTCAATTCTACAGGAGCCATACGGTATGGTGCTTTGGAAATAGGTCCAGTGCCAGGAATAAGGTCAATAGCAAATTCAACCTCCCTATTCGGAGGTAAACCTGGGAGATCCTCCGAAAATACATCCGGAAACTCACGCACCACCAGTATGTCTTTTAGTCTCGATGTCACACTACTAGCATCAGTAATGGAGACTAGGAAACCCTGGCAACCATTTACAAGATATTTCTGGGCCTGTAAGGCAGATATTAGCATAGGTGGAGCAAAAGAACCACTGCCTTGCAAACTAAATTTTGGCTCACCAGGATTATTAAAAATTACCCATTTCCGATGGCAGTCTATAGAGGCAAAATGTTTTGACAACCAATCCATCCCCAAAATGATATCAAAATCAGAAATATCTAAAACAATCAGACTAACACTCAATTGTCTACCATCAATATACATATCCACAGCCTTACACACCTCCTTAGTAGTCATCACTCCTCCTAAAAAGCTGTCCACATGCAGTTCACAATCAGAGGTATCAACAGGCAAAACTCGTTTCAAAGCATAAGATCGAGCAATAAAAGAGTGCGATGCACCCGAATCAAATAAAACATGCGTATAATCAGAGTTAACAGGCAAGGTACCCGTGATTACGTCGGTAGCTGCAGCCTCCTTGTGAGTCATCATGTGCACTCTCGCCTGCTAGGCTCTTGTCCTAACCCCAGTACTCTGTTTCTGTGCCCCTTGATTGGTAGAACCCTATGGAGAGGTAGGTTGAGTACTCTGAGCTTTGGGGTTTAGCAGTGGACAATTTGCAATCCAATGTCCCTGCTTGTCACATTTGAAGCAAGCCTCAGTAACGATGTGGCACTGATCCCGGGTGTGCCCAACCTTCCCACAAACGTGGCAAGTAAGTTGAGTAGGACGAGCACGTTGGGCTGTTGATGCCTGGCCCACAGTCTTGGTAGCTCCTGACCCTTTAGAACCCTTGCTGACCTCAAACTTAGGCGATGCAAGGACAAGGGGCCTACGGCTCCCATCAAATTTTCTCTTACCAAGGGATGACCCAACATTGTGCTGTCCTGAGGACTTGACTCTAGCCATAGCCTTCTCTTGATCTATGGCTCTGTCCGCAGCCTCTCTATAAATGGCAGGTTTGAATTGATTCACCGCCAGATAAATATTGGGATTCAAGCCCCATAAAAATTTATCAGCTTTGGCTAGCTCATCCCCAACCTGACTACCCACAAAAGGCAGATAGCAGTCAAACTCCTTCTTGTACTACTCAATAGTACCTGACCCTTGCTTTAGATCCGTAAATTCCCTTTGTAGTTCCCGCCTTTTACTATCCGGTATGTACTCTTGCATGAACACCTTTTTGAAGCCATCCCAGGTGCTCAATTCAGGCTCTCCTTGGTGTAGCTTCAGATAATTCTCCCACCAAGTTAATGCTTCACCAGTAAGCATATAGCTGCCTACATCGACCTTAAGGTTGTTAGAAATCTTCAGTAGGCGGAATCCCCACTCCACCTCGATAATCCACGACCTCACCTGCTCAAAACCCGCGGTACCATCAAATCTCTTGGGCACCATGTAATACCCCGAAATTTTTGGAGTATTAAAGTGTGAGTAAGGGACTTATTTGATGAGAAATATTATTGAAAGGCTTAATAGTCAAATTTTTAAAAGTGGAGGGACTAAAAAGAAAGAAATTTGGATAAGGATCAAGGCTGATATTTTTGTCCTCAGCCACGTGTTTTTCTTTTCTTCATCTTCATTTTTCTTCTCCCAGATGCTCTGCCTCCCCGACCAGCCCCCCCTAAGCCACCGACTTCTTCCTCCTTTGAAAACCGGTAGAAGACTTGAAATTTCTTCTTTCCTTCTTGTTCAAGAACTGATTTTGGGGCTTAGAACTCTCATTAAACCCAGAATTTTCCCCAGATCTGCTCGGTCTCTTCCTCCCCTGTCCATCGAGTTCTGCTGGGTGTGGATCCTTCGGTTTTTCCTGTAAGCACAGCCATGAGTTCCTCTCTTCAACTCTAAATTGGCTTGGGTTCATTCTAATTACTTTATTTCTGTCAATTTTGTGTTAGTTCTTTGTGAATCCCGCCCCTGCCATACCGCCAGATCCGGTTCTGCTTGCTAGGGAATTCTGGTAAGATGATAGCTTCCATAAGCTTGGGTTTTGTCAATTGATTGTTGCCTTGAATTGCCCTTGTGCTGTTTGGATTTTCTGCTGAAAAAGGGGAGAATGCCGACAGCAAGTGAGATGATTTTTCTTGCTTAATTCATGTAGGAATTTTGTTAATTAAGCTGTTGTGATGTTTTGGAGAGAAAATCCCATGTGTGTGTGTGAGTTGTGGTTTGCCAAACCATGCTCTCCATGTGTTGCCGTGAGTAAATGGGAGAATTTGAGGTGAATTATGCAAATATATGAGTGCACAATTGATTTTGTGCTTGATTTCAGATAGAAAAATGAATAAATAAATAAGGTATTATGGGGGTTAAATGCCGGTAAAATTTGGGAAAGGATTAAATGTGTTGTTTTAGATGGGTATTAATTTTGGGAAATATTTTGATTAGGTACTTGATTATTCTGCACTCTAGCACTTGGGATTAGTGTGCTGTTGGTGCGATTGAGGTAAGTAAATTATGGTAAAGCCCTTCACTTTTAAAGCATGTTTTAATTGTTTTTGAGATGGTGGCAAGGTTTAAAGTGATTTTAAATGGAGTTATTGCACTGAGCATGATTGGTTTGAAATGGAATTGTTTTGATGTGTGTTGAGTAGAGCATGCCTGTTTTGAATTAACTGAACTGTTTTGATGAATTGAGCATTTTGTAAATACTGAGTTTTTGTTAAATCCATGCTCACGTGAAAATTGTGATGATTTTTATGAAAGTTATTGTTTTCTGGAACTGAGCAGGATTGAAATGAGAATTTCATTGTTTTTCCGGGGTTGAGCATGCCCACATGGAATTTTCTGGTTTATTCTTGAAATTGAGATTAATGGGAATTATGGATTTTCTGTAAATTCTGCATGGTTTTGGTCTCGGATATAGTCATGATTACTGATGCCCGCTAGTGGGAGTTGTAAACGCTAGCACATGTCGACATGTATTTCTGTAGAACCGGTTCACCCTGCCAATGGGGTTAAACATTGGTACTATTACTGACGCCTGCCAGTGGGAGTTTGTAAACACTGGTACTTCTGAAACCCTACCAATGGGGTTAAACATTGGTTATTACTGACGCCTACCAGTGGGAGTTGTAAACACTGGTACTATTACTGACGCCTGCCAGTGGGAGTTTGTAAACACTGGTACTATTACTGACGCCTGCCAGTGGGAGTTTGTAAACATTGGTACCATTACTGACGCCTGCCAGTGGGAGTTTGTTAAACACTGGCCATGACTTATAGATGAGACTACTGATGAGTTTTATTATGCATGAATGGTTTATCTGGCATGCTTAAATTTTTACCAAGGGCTGTCCATATTTTACTTACTGAGATATTCTATCTCACCTCGTTTTCCTTGTCCACCATTTCAGGTAGTGGTACCCGACACATAGGGAACCGGGGGAGTGACGAGCTAGACGGCTAGACATATTTGGACTTAGATCTTTTGGAGTTAGGTCGCTAGTCTCTTATGGGTGACCATTTTTGTGTACAGAGTTTTTCTTGGTTATAGCCATACTGCTGATAAACTTTTGTATATCTGGAATAGTAAATTTTTGGTAATGGAAAGTTAGATTTTACTTGAGTTTTAGATTTGAATTAATTGAATTGGAAATTAAGAACTCAGTAAGTTCCGAGCCTGGTGCATTCGTAGGACCCGTTACGAGTGCACGGCGTTTGTCGCGCCTCGAATTCGGGTTTTGAGGCGTGACACACCACCTTCTGGAATTCTGTATAGACCTTCCAGCTAGACACTGCAGGAGCAGAAGAAATAGGAACAGGGGAAATTGGAGCAGGGGTCGTAGGAGTGGAAACCACTGGGGCTGGAGGTGGCACAGTTGTGGCAAGAGATGCTTGGCGTCTTATCTCTACCATAAGTTCCTGAACAAAAGTGGCTATCTGAGGATTACTCGTCCCTCCCTCCTGCGGAGCAGCTTGGGCAGAAGGACTAGCACCTGGGATCGAAGGAGTGCCCTGATCCTTACGGCCACCCCTCGGGCGCCCACGCCGTTTTGGGGCCATCTATAACCACTGTCATAACCCAATTTTAATTGGGGCTAAGTGAGAAAAGTAAAAGTTCATGGACCATTTCGCAAAAAAGTGTAAAGCTTGAAGGCTGAGATGAAGAACTAGCAAAACGACGTCGTTTTGCCTGTAAGCTGAAAATAAAAACAAAGCCCAGGGTTCTGTCGAACCCTAGCTTCCCAAAAATCTTATTTCTTCCTTTGGCCGTTGATTATCTCTAAGATTTCACAGAATTCTTCTTATCCATTCCTTATCCATTCAAAGTTTGGATAGCCCACAACAACACCAGAAGAGATTTTCGGATTTGAAGTTCTTATCAAGAGTTGCAGAGGATTTTCGAAGTCGATTCAAATTGGGAATCCTAATATTTTAAATGTATGAATCTAGCCTTAAAAAAGGGGAAGATGTGTAAAGGCTAAGGTAATTTTAGGATTCCAATTTCAAATAGGATTAGATTATTATCTGTAATTTTGGGATTGGGATTAGAATTGAGAGTTAGAAAAAGGGTTGGAGTCCTCTCTATTTCTGTATAAATAGGGGGGCACCTTCGGCTTGAAAGAGGAGGAAAAAGAAGGAAAAGAAGGATCCGAGGGCGAAGAGGTGGAAAATTGGGGAAAAATTGGGAGAGAGAAGGGGAAAAAAATTGGCGAAGCTTGGAAGGAGAATTGGAGAGATCAAGAAGAAGTACAGCAGTTTGTAACTAGAACTTCAAGAAAATAAAGCTTGATTTTCCATATTTTTCAGGTGTGCATTGTTAATTTTTGGGTGTTGTTCTGTCATGTTTTTTTTCTTCATATCGGTAATTGCTTGATTTCTTTGTTAATTTGTTTCTTTCATGGTTCGTCTGTAATTGATCTTGAGGAAGGAAATGTTTATTGGTTGGCCTTGCTGTAAACAAGATTCCACTGATTTTCCCCCTATAGCAATCTGTTTCCTGTGGTTTAGTCCTGTGTTAGTCATGAAGTTTTTTTAGGATCTGTTGTTATTTAGCTTAAGAGATGCATTAGATAGGAAAAGAATAAAAGGAGTTTTCTTAAAAAAATATGAGGGGAGTTTAGGCGTTAGAAAAAGAAACAGAAACAAAAAAGAAAAAAGAAAAGAAAAGAAGCAGAAACGAAAAAACAAGAAAAAAAAAAAAACAAAAGAAACGGGAAAGGGGAAAAAGGTTGAGGATGATGAACAGTATTGTTTTGACTTTTTTTGGGGTAGTTATTATTGATGAATAAGAAATTGAAACAAAAAGAAATAAAATAAAAAACAGAAACGGGAATAGGACAAACGATGGTTTTTTTTTGAAGTTTTTTTTTTTATTTCTTGCTTTTATTATTATTATTTTTTATTTTTGTTTTATGTGCTTGGTAATTATTATTATTTTCATAAAAAATTGAAATTTCCCAAAATTAAAGTATGTGGTAACCATATTTATATGGAAGTTGTGGGGTGCCTAATACCTTCCCCATGCTTAACTGACCCTCCGAACCTAGTTAATTTCTACGAAGACCTTGGTGATCTATCCCACCGCATTTGGATAGATGGCGACTCCATCCATTTTGGCACGTCAACAGTTTGGCGACTCCACTGGGGACCTTGAGGGGTCAAGCCATTTATACTTTAATTTTGGGGTTTTTCAATTACTAACTTTTGTTTTGTAGGTGGCATGAAGTATCTTGTAAGTTTTTTTTATTTTTTTTATTTTTCTATTTTTTGTTATTTTATTTTTTGTTATTTTCATATGTTAACTTTGTGTATACTCCCTCACACACCTCACTTGCATATCATTTTTGTCCTTGATGATGTAAACCCGACCTCTAGATAGATGGATAACTCATGGAGCGATGAAAAGCGCAATGCTTTCTTTGTGAAGTGAGATTTATCCCTTTTAGGTTCATTTTGTGGGTTAATACGGCTTGACAGTTATAATGCTGCTGCTGTATTAGGTCATGAAATGCCTCTTGTTAACTCTATAGAAGTTGGCAATTGTTGACTTTATGGAAGTCAATAATTGTTGACTTATGGAAGTTAGCAGTTGAAAAGCCTAATCGTATAGGATCCACTAGGAAACCACATGTAATGGACTTAGACAAAAACTTAACCCTAGGATGGCCAGCCTAGTAAATCACCTCCAAAGTCTAAGAACCTTATACATAGGACACATTGGGAGTATTTTATTGATAAATAATGATTTTGTGTTTCTTAGGTGAGGAATTCGACCAAAAGGTATGACATTCATTAACTCTTCTTCTTCTTTTTTAATAGGTAATTGATTATTTTACACATGGATTCTTTGGAGAAAAAGAACGGTAAGGGAAAAAGGATGAATTTAGAGTTAGAATGTCCACCATTATCCAAGAAGAACAAGTCACACAAGGATGGATTCTCTGTGCAGACCAAAAGACCTTGTGTAAAAGACTTGGTTGCTGCTTGGAATAGTCTGAGTAATCTTGACAAAGTGAGGTTTGACAAGAAATTTGGTAGAATTGCTGATGTGTTGCAAGTAGAGCCGGACTGGGAAATCATTAGGGCAAGCCTAAGATTTTATGTCCCGCATCTTCGTTGCTTTGTTTTTCCCGAGTTTGAGTTGGTACCTACCGTTGAAGAATATTTTCAGTTATTGTTCAATCGCCCAGAAATGAGTTCAGAAGTTTATGTCCAAGACCCTGTTAACTTTCAATTAAATAAGTTGCAATTTCAGTCCATACTACAAAGGATTTTGAACTTTCCTTTAGAGTTCACAGAAGGTTGCATTATGAAGAAAAATGAAGTTTGGGGAGTTAATT